GCGTCTTGCCTTGACTTGACTTATCAAATAGTGTTGATCATATGATGCCACTGGATTGTTACACAAGCCAACCACTCCCAGGCACGTAGTATGCGACACGTCGTCGTCGTCGTATTAGTAACAGGAGTGCGTGGATTAAAGGATTTTGAAGGATCCAGCAGCTTGGTAGGATATTTGATATCACTCGTTTTATTAGGGGATGGCATGGGCCCGAAGGCCATACAGGGAGTGTGAAGGCCCCTAAGGTCGGCATGACAATAACGTAGGTCATTTTGATGTGGTACAAGTTGTTGAGCGAGCTTGTGATTTGAAGAATCTGAACTCATTTCCCCTAGAGTTTGGACAAGATATCCCCCTTTTCTGTCCCTAGTAGGGGAATGCCTGGGTGGCATCCTGCGCCACCCTGCCGGCGCTCCAGGGCATGAGAGCCTCGAGTTAAAGGGCATAAAAATCCGATCTCCCCTTTGTAACATGAGATTCAACCACCTTCCGTGAATCATGTATATCTCGATCAGAACCGCGAAGTCCCTCCTGGCCAGCCTTTTGCTGGGGCATGCCATTGCGCACTCCGGCAGCAGCGCCGGTCATGATTTTTTGCAAATTGAAAACGCCAGTACCATCGTACGCGACGTTGCTGTAATCGGAGGTGGAGCTTCCGGCACCTACGCTGCCATCCAGCTCCGTAAGCTGGGCCACAGCGTCGTGGTGGTCGAAAGGGAACCCCTCCTAGGCGGCCACACAAATACCTACTATGATCCAGTCAGCGGCCAGTACATCGACTACGGCGTCCTGATCTGGCAGGATATCCCCGAGGCAAGAGACTTCCTCGCCCACTTCAACATTTCCACGACCACCGTGCGATTCGGAAACTCCGATAGTGCCCGCGTTGATCTGCGCACGGGACAAAACGTGCCCCCCCCGCAGGGCAATGTGACCGACGCGATGATGCGGTATGCGCAGCAGCTGCTCAAGTATCCCTATCTCGAGGAGGGATGGGATCTCCCGGACCCTGTGCCGGAGGACCTACTGCTCCCATTCGGAGAGTTTGTGAAGAAATATGACCTCGCACCAGCGGTGGAGACTCTGACACTGTATGTGCAGGGTCTCAAAGACTGGCTGCCGTACCCGACTGTGTATATTATGAAGTATTTCAGTCTGGGGGTGGCGTTGGGCGCGCAGAATGGGTTCCTGGGCACCGTGGACGGCAACAACGGGGCGTTGTACACAGCTGCGCGCGAGGAATTGGGGGATGATGCATTGCTCGGCAGTACTGTGGTTAGGATGGAGCGTCCTGCAAACCGTCCGCATCGGATCTTGGTCCGAACCCCTAGTGGCTACCAACTCATCAGAGCGAACAAGACCATCATCACTGCTCCGCCGAAGCTGGAAAATCTGGCGAATTTCGACCTGGACGATACAGAACGTGGTGTTTTTGAGCAGTTCGAAAACACGTTCTACTACACCACTGTGACCAGGATCCCTGGGCTACCGGCCGGACTTGGAATCCTCAACCGCGGTGCCGACACGCCGTACAATCTCCCTCCTCTGCCGGGAGTGTACACCATCACGCCGACTCGCGTCCCGGAAATGTACACGATTTTCTACGGCGGCGGGGAGGCAAAGACCGAGGACGAGGTGAAGCAGAGCATCAGAGACAGTGTGCTGATGTTACATGAAGCGGATTTTAATACCTCCGCGCCTGAGATCCTGGCCATCAGTAACCACAGTCCATACGAGTTGTTCGTTTCTTCCGACAAAATCGCCAGGGGCTTCTATCGCGATCTGTATGCGTTGCAGGGACATCGGAACACGTACTATGCCGGCGCTGCGTTCCACGCGCATAACTCTGCTGCCCTCTGGAGGTTTGTGGACAATCTGTTGAAGACCCTGTTTGATTGAATTTTCTGGGAGACTCGGACTTGAAGGCAAGTATGCCGCTAAGTGGTGTCAAAAGGGACAATAGGCTCTGGTGTGTGCACAGCCTATCTTATACCAGAGTGTTGTTGATGATCCTGCTCCTGAAGCCCGCTTCGCAGCAGCTGAACTAGTACTATAATGGCGGTAGACTTAAAAAATAATAACGAGGAAGATCTTGCTCAGGTCGTTGCAGTCAACTTCCTGGAGCATGAATGCTTGTCTCCTTGCCCAAAGACGCAGATAAGGTGAGGAAGTAAGATAGATTGTTCCAAAGTTAAAGATATTGCGAGACAAATCACTAGTGAATGACGATTATTGTGCTGGCGTGACTCGGCAGCGCTTCGGAGCAGCGGTCATACAGCCTGCATGGGATGAGTTGTTCACGCAGTCTAAGGTAGACACCAGACCACATTATTAGCTCAGTCAAGCATAAATCCTGCAGATGTTAGCAGACTATTGTTACACATTTCGTCATTTTCTTCAGGGCGATCAGTTGACTTTTCACGAGATAATTAAATGGAAATAGCGACGGGATATTCTTGGGAATGGCATGTGACATATATCAGAATGATTAATTGTTTTTGAGACACGTTATCTGAGTGATTGTGCTGCGGAATAACTAACTAACTGCAAACAACCCCGGCTGAGATAAGCAAATGTGGCATATCATCAGGGGCATGGATGTCACCAATCAGGCTGAATGTTTCCCCTTTCCCCCCCTCCTCTGGCTTGTCCAAGTCCCACAAGAACAGCCGAATGTAACCATGATCAGGGATGTTGATCCGCAGCCGTCGCACATTCGTTCGGACTCCGGTCTTGGCTGCCGATCGCCAATTTCTCTTGAGCAAAGCTTGGGTTGTCTTGACGATTTGTCCACCGGACGAATGCCCGGACTGGGCAGGTGATCTGAGATAACAGCGTCGTATTCCGACGGCACTACTCCGTAGTCGGTCATAAGGCTCGTTCCTGACGAAGCATAATTGATATGATGCGATATTGGTTGAGTGGATGATCCCCTCGTCTTGGCGTTGTTTCGCAATTTCTGGTGTTATAAAGAGGGACCGCCCCAACGGCGAGGACGGATCGCTCTCATCTATCGGTAGAATACAGGTCGTCTGAGGTTAACGATGTGGTACCAAAAGTGGTTGCTCCCTCTCCTGGTCGCAGGGGCCAGCGCTGCCCCCGCCAGCACGGCCAGCGCAGCCAAAGACAGTGTCTCGTCTGTTGTCAAGAATGGCGTCAAGTATACCGTCTTTGAACATGCCGCGACCGGAGCCAAGATGGAGTTTGTCAAGAACTCGGGCATCTGCGAGACTACTCCCGGGGTGAACCAGTACTCTGGGTATCTGTCTGTCGGGAATAACATGAACATGTGGTTCTGGTATGTACTACGCAATAATTGACTATATGCAGACCCTAATATGCGCAGGTTCTTCGAGGCCCGTAACAACCCCAAGCAGGCTCCCCTCGCTGCCTGGTTCAACGGCGGCCCGGGTTGCTCATCCATGATCGGTCTGTTCCAGGAGCACGGCCCTTGCCACTTTGTCAACGGGGAAGATACTCCCTCGCTGAACGAGAACAGCTGGAACAACTACGCCAACATGCTGTATATTGACCAGCCTATCGGCGTTGGTTTCTCCTACGGCACAGACGACGTGACCAGCACGGTGACTGCTGCTCCGTATGTATGGAAGTTGCTGCAGGCCTTCTACGCACAGTTCCCGGAATACGAAAGCCGCGATTTTGCCATCTTCACCGAGGTAAGTCCCGTCTCTGAGCTTGCGATACTAGATAAAGCTGATCTTTTAGTCGTACGGTGGACACTATGGCCCCGAATTTGCCTCGTACATTCAGAAGCAAAACGCCGCGATCAAAGCTGGAACGGTTTCTGGCGAAAACATCAACCTGGTCGCCCTGGGAGTCAACAACGGCTGGTTCGACTCGGCCATCCAAGAAAAGGCGTACATCGATTTCAGCTACAACAACACCTACAAGAAGCTCATCTCCTCGTCCGACAGCACCCGTCTGCTGAGCGTCTACAACAGCCAATGTCTGCCAGCGATCCAGAAATGCACAACGACAGGCACCAACGCCGCCTGCAGAAACGCCGACAGCGTCTGCTACAACAACATTGAGGGGCCGATCAGTAACTCCGGTGACTGGGATGTGTATGATATCCGCCAGCCACGCGATGACCCCTATCCGCCTGCGACATACTCCACCTACCTCACCAACCCCGACGTTGTCAAAGCTATCGGTGCACGGACGACCTACCAGGAATGCCCGAACGGCCCGTATAACAAGTTTTCGCAGACGGGAGATAGTAAGTCCCCTCTTTTCTTCCTAGAACTGCACAGCTGACGATGTAGACCCTCGCTCGTTCCTGTCGACTCTCTCCGACGTGGTGAAGTCGGGCATCAACGTTATCGTGTGGGCCGGCGACGCCGACTGGATCTGCAACTGGATTGGCAACTACGAGGTTGCCAATGCTGTTGATTTCCCCGGACACGCGACCTTCAAGTCCAAAGGTCTCGCGCCATACACAGTCAACGGCGTCGAGAAGGGCACGTTCAAATATGTGGACAACTTCTCGTTCCTGAGGGTGTATGGGGCGGGCCACGAGGTTCCCTACTACCGTGAGTCCTCCCTGTTGCTGAATGTGGTCAATGCTAATATGTCCTCTGTAGAACCCGAAGCCTCGCTTCAAGTATTCAAGCAGATCCTCCAGAAGAAGCCAATTTTCTCGACTTAGAGATATCGTGTGCTCTCTTGGAGTCAGATGATATGGATGTATATACCATGACATACCGTTAATCACAATTAGCATTGAAGACGGGAACGGGGCCATCGTATGCCTGTAGATCGTGCGGGGTTGAAGCGGGTTATACCCGGTATACTGCTGTCAGCGTCGATCCTCCTGGATAAATACATTTTGGCTAAATTCCTAGTGACGGTCAAGGGATATGGATGACTCCTGGTGATATCTGCCTTCCATGCTTTATGCAACTAAATCCCCGCACTTAGAACTATCAAGTATATAACACAGGACTAACCCCACCAATGCATTGACAAACAACAGCAAGATGTGGCTCACCTCAGCGCTAGCACTCCTCACTGCCCTTTCCCCAACCCTCGCCACCTCATTCAACCCCTCGACATACACATGGTACACCACCCCAGCGGCGGACTTCGCCTCCACCCTCCCCATTGGCAATGGCCGTCTGGCAGCTGCAATCTGGGGTGGCGCCCTCGACAACATCACCCTGAATGAGAACTCCATCTGGAGTGGCCCGTTCCAGGCTCGTGTGAACCCACAGGCGTACGACGGGTTCACCAAGTCGCGTGCTATGCTTGAGGCAGGGAACCTGAGTGCCGCCAACGATGTGGTGCTACAGGAGATGGTGAGTATTCCGAGCAGTCCGAGGGAGTATAACCCGCTTGGATTGTTGAGGTTAGATTTTGGGCACGATGCGAGTACTGTGCGGAATTATACGCGCTTTTTGGATCTGAATACGGGGGTTGCTGGTGTGAGGTATCAGGTTGGGGATGTAGTGTATAGGTAAGATGTTTTTCTTTGTTGCAAGTAGAAAAGGGCTGACTGGTTAGTCGGGAGTATGTTGCTAGTCATCCCGATGGGGTGTTGGCTGTTAGGCTCCGGGCGAGCAAGGACGGTGCGTTGAATGTGATTACTTCGTTGGAGAGAAGTAGATATGCGGAGAGCTTGACTGCTGGGAGCAGTAAGGGCATAGGTACTCTGACTCTGAAGGCGAATAGTGGCCAGAGTACGGATCCTATTAGGTTTACTGCGCAGGCGAGGGTGTTGAATCGTGGAGGTAGGTTCGGTCCCCTTTTTATGCGTAAAAGCTAACCTTTTAGGTCGAATCGCTACCAACGGAACCTCTGTCGTTGTCAGTGGTGCCTCGATCGTGGATATCTTCTTTGACGCCCAGACATCCTATCGATATCCCGATGAGAGCCAACGTGAGGCTGTTGTCACGAAGCAGCTAGATGCTGCAGTGAAATCGACCTACCCTGCAGTGATGCAAGCTGCAACCTCAGACTACCGGTCTCTTTCTGGCCGCGTCAAGCTGGACCTAGGCTCGTCGGGATCCGCAGGAAACCAGCCCACGGACATCAGACTCAAGAACTACAAAGCCAACCCCAATAAGGACCCCGAATTGGTGACCTTGATGTTCAACTTTGGCCGACACTCGCTCATTGCATCCTCCCGCGCAGGGTCATCCTCTGGTCTTCCCGCCAACCTCCAGGGTATCTGGAATCAAGACTACTCGCCCGCCTGGGGCGGCAGATACACCGTCGACGTCAACCTGGAGATGAACTACTGGCATGCGCAGGTCACCAATCTGGCAGACACGTTTGAACCCGTCATTGATCTCATGGATAGAGTCCTGCCGCATGGACAGGACATCGCCAAGAAAATGTACCACTGCGACACGGGGTATATCCTGCACCACAACACCGACCTCTGGGGAGATGCTGCCCCCGTCGACAACGGAACCAGCTGGACCATGTGGCCGATGGGCAGTGCGTGGATGTCGATGAACCTGATGGACCAGTACCGCTTCACCCAAGACAAGACCCTCTTGCGAGAGCGCATCTGGCCGCTCCTCAAGAGCGCCGCTGATTTTTACTACTGCTACCTCTTTGACTTTGAAGGCTACTACACCAGCGGTCCCTCGATTTCCCCTGAGCACAACTTCAAAATCCCAAAAGATATGACTATCCCGGGTAAGACCACAGGAATCGACCTCGCCCCAACCATGGACAACCTTCTACTCCACGAGCTCTTCATCGCCATCATCAAAACCTGCGAGGTCCTGGGTATCAAAGGCGACGATCTAACCAACGCCCAAAAATACGTTTCGAAGATCAGACCACCTCATATCGGCTCCGACGGCCAGATCCTCGAGTGGCGACGCGACTACCAAGAGACCGAACCAGGACACAGACACATGAGTCCCATCCTAGGGCTCTACCCAGGCTCGCAGATGACACCGCTTGTCAACCAGACCCTGGCAAACGCCGCCAAGGTCCTTCTCGACCGCCGCATCACCTCCGGCAGCGGCAGCACGGGCTGGTCGCGCGCGTGGACGATGTGTCTCTACGCGCGCCTCTTCGACGGCAACAGCGTCTGGAACCACGCGCAGTACTTCCTGCAGAACTACCCGAGTGACAACCTCTGGAACACGGACCACGGGCCTGGCAGTGCGTTCCAGATTGATGGCAATTTTGGTTTCGCGGCGGGGATCGCTGAGATGCTGCTGCAGAGCCATGCGGTGCTGCATCTCCTCCCGGCGTTGCCGGCTGCTGTCCCGGACGGGCGTGTGAGTGGTCTGGTGGCGCGGGGAAATTTCGTTGTTGATATGGAATGGCGTGGTGGAAAGTTGCAGCTTGCCAAGGTTGCGTCGAGGAGTGGAGGAGTGCTGGCTTTGAGGGTGCAGGAGGGGAAGCCATTTACTGTGAACGGGCAGACCTATACGGAGCCAATCCAGACTGTTGTGGGAAAGTTGTACACGATCAGGTTGAAATAAAGGGCGTCCTGGAGGAATAGGGTGAAGAGTGGACTCAACAGAACACATGACTGTGTGTCCTGGATGATCGGCACAGAAGACTGGCGAAATATATTAAAACACCCTTGCTTGCAAAAGTGACTGATCTTGATGCCAAGACGGTCGGCTCGTCAATTTCCTCACTTGCGTCGCTTTTTTGTTCAGAAGATCTTAGACTATCCCCTGACACTTGAGCAGCTGCTTTAGCAAGTCTCAGGTAAAGTCAAGGCCTTGATGAGAGTTTATGCTACTCCGGAATATAGTAAGGTGAAAAATCAGTAAGATCTTAACTATACTCTATCTCATCCTCAACAGCCGCCCCAAGACTCACCAGTCCACTCCATAGCAAGGACTAAACGCGAGTACTCCTGCATCAACGTCTTCTAAGGCCTCCCCGATAAGGCATTGCCCTGATCCTTTATGCCAGTACCCCGGTAGCGAGTACACGGTCGTTCTATATAATCTATGAGGGATTAGGGAGGAGGATGAAAAGTGAGGGTCGCCATCCCGAAGAAAGTACCGGCCGTCCAGGACGAGTCGCTGTAGTATTTGCGGGAGGAGCCGGTTTTGGAGACTGCGCCGCAGGTACGTGAACCCTTCTTACGCGATGTCATTTAGAATAATTGATTGCGATTGGAGAAGCCGACTTTGTTCAATGCGGTGGGTCCTTTTTACCATCAAGAACTATTATTGTATCATGTGTTGTCTATATGGAGCATAGAATTGTCTCTGGGCATAGTACGGGAGTATTGTGGGAATATATTAGAGGTCAGCATTTGGAGGGACATTAGTGTCTGTATACACATGTGTCCAACAAGATCCCGGTTCAGGCCCAACATCAGCGATCGGCCAGACCATAATAATAATAAGCGAATACTTAAATACCCCACATTCCGACCAGCCACACCAATGCCTGGATTATCCCTGTGAATGATATCCCGCTACCATTACGCTGATCCTATAATTATTCTCTAGCGAATAAGTGAATATCCACAACAAAATGACCAAGGATCCCAGGACATTCAAAGTGCTCCTGGTAGGAAACTCCGGTGTGGGCAAGGTATTGTGATGACTCGTACCCACCCTTCGAGACATGGCTAACCAACGCAGACAGCCTTCTTGCACCGATATCTCAACAAGAGATTCGAGCATTCGCTACCGGTAACAGCTAACGTTGACAAACATGTTATCCATCTACACACAGTAAGGTCCTGTCCTTTGCCCACAGTACAATTGCTCATGTTCTAGATCGACGGCCCGGTGAGGTACGAGATCTGGGATGTGAACGGCACCCAGAAGCCCAATACTCTGGCTTCGAGGGAATTCGATGAAATTGATGCAGCGATTATCATGTTTGATCTGACAGACCGGATTTCATACAATAATGTGCCTAATTGGTACCGTATGTACAGGCCTTTCTATTTCGGGGCAGTACTGACGGAAACGTGCAGAAAGCCTCGTGAACAAGGATGGGATGCGCCTTGGGAGGTTTATGCCCATTTGCATCTGTGGGAACAAGAATGATGCCTCGGAGTATGCGAAATTACCTCCAAAGGCTATCACGTTTCCCAAGAAGAAAGGAACAGGCTATGTGGAGATGTCTGTCATGGATCTGGACAACATACATGAGCCGTTCCTTGATCTTGCGAGGCAGCTATTGAGGGATCCTGTCTTGGTATATACACCTGTCATGCTATCGATCGACGCGCTAATGCTTCTCAGTGGTATAAATCACTGCCCGAAGTTGGACCGGCAGTATTGGCATCTCAAACGGTGAACCAACGGTGGTCCCAGGAAAACGGATCCCAAGATCCTAAATATGCAATTGGTCCCCGTGTCCAGACCAAGGAGATTCCACCTCCTGAAACCGAAACACAACCCGCGACCGTAACAAATATTTCGGCTGAAAACCCCCCAACCGTCATCGAGTCGCCCAAAAAGGGGATTGCATCCAACGGGCAACTGAAGTTCATCAGTACTACGAACAAAGCACAAATTGGGATCAAATCGCCTGCCAACGGGACTGCCTCAGTTTCCAGCGAGACAAAATCGGCAGTCAATCAAACCGTCCCAGTTGCAGAAGAAGAAAAGACGAAGCTTCCTATTGTGCGTACAGAAGAGCACCAAGTTACGAAGCACCACGAACCGAGAAAGGAGCCTTGCGAACCCAAGAGAGCACTCGAACCCCCAGAAAAGCAATCAACCCTTGCTAAAGATCAGAGCCTCTTCGTGCTGTGCATCCAGTGCATCAGAATGATTCTCATCAAGTGCATCCAGGGAACATCCCTCGCTCAACTATCCAATGGCAACCCGTGTTTTGCCCTCGTCACGACAGCATGCCGCTCCTGTTGTCACGACTCGAAAAAGCCCCAATCAAACGAAGTGCGCATGTCTCCCGATCTGATTCGGTATACAGCCATGTATGAGTGTGCGCGCAAGGTGGCCGAGGGCGACGTGGAGGTCCTCGCGAACAAAAAGACTGTTGCGCATATTTCTCTTGACAAATTAACGGACGGTATTAGCCCCGAGTGTCAAATCCTGGGGATCTCCACCAGTTCGGAGACACTGCAACGGTTAAGGCAGGTGGGGAGGAAGGACGTGTTGTTGGGGTACGTGCCGGGGGCATTCCTCTAGGCTTGGCATTGGATCGTGGAGATATATAGCTTAAAGGTAGACACATTGGAGGGTCTATGATCATGTCTTCCCGGAATTCATCTTCATCGAGTAGGGGAGTTTCTACAGACTACCAAGTGCACCCTAGTACTGGACACCACATCGCGGATCCGCGGCTGGCAACGGCAGTACCAGCAACTTCAATTTCCAAGCAACTTGGCCCGGGTTTCTTTGAGTTTTGTTGATCAATCACACGATTGAACACTTGGTATTAAGGGTGTACAGGGTGTGCGGAGGCATGTTATGACTTCATAGCGGGTAGATTTCCATTTTTAGACTTCCCGATACGATGTGGAGTAGGACGCGATGATCAACAAAGGGGAAACGTCACCACCCCTTTCAGGATCAAGTTTTATCAACCAACTTCAATTATCTTCATAGATTGAATTGTTCTTCTGAATCTTTTATACAGAAGTTTTGATTTGGAAAGCTCACAATGTTTCAATGGTAAGATGCAAGTCCAAAGGACAGCGAATGGCTCGCTCACGTGAATATAGGTACCAGCGAAGTTTAGTCCAGCGTCCTCTGTTGACGCAAAGCTTGACAACTGCGGTTAGTCCTACATTCTGGAGAAATTCGAATTAGTCATTCATTGCAGACAGTGTCTTTTCGCTGTCGGAGACAGCCTCGCCCAGCAAGCCGTGGAGAAAAGAGGTATCGCTCAGCATGATGTGATCCGTACTGGACGAATGGCCCTTTACGGCGGAGGTACGCGGACTCCTTCCTTACCATGTTACCATTTCTCACGGTGTTAGCTGTTTTTGGTCCTCTGGCCACAAAATGGTTCCAGGTCCTGCAGAGACGAATCAATCTGCCCTCCGCGCAACGAACAGTCATTGGACGCGTAGCAGCCGATCAATTACTATTTGCTCCCACCATGATCGGAGTTTTTCTGTCCAGCATGTCCATCCTGGAGGGTGGAAGTCCCAGCGACAAGTTGGAGAGATCGTACTGGCCAGCGCTGAAAGCGAACTGGACGGTGTGGCCGTTCCTGCAGCTGGTGAACTTTGCGCTTGTGCCGCTGCAGTACCGGGTGCTTACAGTTAATGTTTTGAATATTGGTATGAACCTTGTTTATCCTTTTGGTTCTGAGCTAATTGACGTAGGATGGAACTGCTTCTTGAGTTTGCTGAATAATGTTGGCCCGAAAGATGTGCCTCTCGTTGCTTGAGAGGAATTCGTTTTGTCCCATAGATTTAGAGTGTTCCGCCTATACATGTTATTTAGACTGCCATAGAATAAGATGATTTTTTGGCTTTCCAGGAGCGAAGAAATGAGAATTCGGTCTTTGACACGTGGAAGGAAGTTTCCTATTTCGGCATCCCAATCGCTTTATGCAACACAGCGACTTTTCCCTTCAGAAATCGTTCCGCATGTCGATTTTCACTTCCGCCTGGATACCAGGATAACAGCTGTGAACTCACGAAGCTATATTGGGGAGACATGACAGTGCAAGAGGCTGTTGTGGGCAGTGGACAAATAGACCAGCTTCTTTGACGTGTACGTTCCAAGACAATGAGCAGAGCTGGAGATGGGAGATTCGCGGGGAAAGTATCTATTGTAAATCGACAAGCTACTGATTGAAACTAAGTGGGATACAATCCAAATCAAACCACTCATGTGAAAGCTTATCGGATGGGTTTAGATGTGGGGATGCTGATCTGTGGAAACGCGGAAGAAGTGGTCCAATCTATGGGGATTTGCTTCTCGCTTCGTCGTTAAATGGTCTTGTATAGACAAAGGCCTGGAGGGCCTGATTCAATTTGCCCTTTGAGGTTTGCACAAGCCAGGGGGATTATGGAACGATCATAGAATTGAGGTGGAAGAAGCACTGAAGACTCGACATAACATATTGCACCATGGTAACACCGTAGAGCGACCATTTCATCCTACATATGACGAAGAAATAAGCTTCCCATCAAGCCACCCCAGACAATTGATGGCTCAAGAGACTTGGCTGCGGTCATCAGTGATGTGCTGGCGAAGCTTATTGGCGGGGCATCGACCTGTCAAAAGTCGCCGTGGGCTTACCGGTTGCGGGCGATGACGGCAACGACACGCTCTTCCCCAGACTGCCCCAGAATCCGCCACCCCACTGGTGCGTCTAGAGCTGAATTCCTCTCTTGAACAGGTCGCCTAAACTCTCTGTTGGTGGGTCTGTGGAATATTCGCCATGTCATTCATCGGTTTCTTTGCAACTGTGGAGGAACAGGAATTGCTACTCTTGTACCACGGAAGTTGCGGCAATTCGAACCCTCCACGTGAGCAGGGACCCAAGCGGGGATCACCGGCGATGACAGAATGATTGG